AATGCAGTCATAAAACATATTTAAGGAAAAGAAGTAAAGCTAAAGCGACAAATAAATAATGCTGCGGCAAATGACCAACGCCACCCTCACCACCGGCCTACCCTCAATGCCTCCCTCATCCATCACCAAAAGATGGATGGGCGTGGAAAGGCCAGGCCATGGGAAGGCCAGTGCCGCTGGACCGAATGGAGTGCGTCTGATGAACTTAGATCATTTGTATCTACAGTCGATGGGGCCTGGCCTCACACGACCACATCTGGCTGAAAGCAATGCACCATAGGAAAAAGAGCTCCAGTCACGTTTGTGGACTTCTCTCTTGTGGGGTCATCAGGCCAGTTGACCACAAAGTGCTCAGTGACCCCTGGAAAATGAATCATGTCTTCATCCCAGGGCTTCATGTCTGCGCTACATCACCGTTTGAAGCAGGCGATTCTTTGGTGCGTGCCAGGTCAAAAGTAGCCCTGGGGACCAATTCCCTCGTGAGGGGCTGCCACGGAACCCCATGGGTCCTTTGCTTTTGAATTCTTTCTCCCCCTAGCAACGACGGAGCACCGGCCTTCCAGCTAGGACTGTGTCGACATCAGGCTGATTTCTTCTTGGAGTTGGAGAAACACGAGAGAGACTATTATTACAGCTTAAATTGTGTCACGCGCAAGCTTATGGCAAGGGCCCGGGTTCTTTCTGATGACAGGCCGATTTTGCTGTAATGACTATTGCCTGAAAGGAATGGGTGATCGACAGGGGTGTAGAGACGACAGAGATGCTTAGTGGTTTTTATGGGAGCAGTATTGGTTGTTCCAGAATTTGACCTGTATTCTGGTTATTACTTGTATTCAGCACAATGGAAACTTGGCACTTCCACTGTTCCGACTAGGTATGCAATGCGCTGTAGCATGAAAGTCACTCATAAAGCGGTGGGGGAAACAAAACGAAATGAAACACACGCGTTCTCTGAACACAAGAGGCGCGCCGAACAGAAAAATCTTAGCTGGAGAGATGTATTGTTTTATTTAGCCGAATGTTCTGGATAGTCACAGAGGTCCGTCCCTTCTCACCACGATGAGTTCATTCATGTATGTTGTTTTTGCCATTTATGAAGCATTTCTAAAACGTTTCAAATACGCATTTTTGCCTTATTCTGAGCCTAGTTTTGTCTCTCTGTGTGATGTTCAGGGCCTGGTTCTGCATCTAATTGTAACATCCTATCACGCAGTGAGGGGCAATACCCAATGGTGGTGTATTGCGTTATGCATTTGGGGGGCTAACCACAAGGTCAGCAGTTTGAAACCACCAGCTGCCCCATGGGAGAAAGAGGAGGCTTTCTACTTTTTTTTTTTTTACCAGAAAACATCTTTTTAATGTGAACACTACTTCTTTCTACTCTTATAAAGGTCAGTCTCAGACACCCACAGGGGCACTTCTACCCTGTCCTATAGGGTTGTTATGAGGTGGAAATGACTTGGTGGCAGTGAGGTTTTTGAGTATCATGTAGTGAGGCATGTGGGGTTGTGTGGTAGTTATATAATCTGGTGTCAATTTGGGACTTGAGAGGATTAAGGGTGAAGGGGTGGAGTCTAGTCTGTCAATTGGGTCATAGCTAATGAGGACTCTGTGTGGGCATGGCCTTCTCCTGAGAATTCTGGGAAATCCAGTATTTCTTCCTTGGAGGTAGGAGACAACTCTCTCTCTGCTCACTCACTCATTGGCAGACACTGCAGCTAAGACACATGGAACTACTCCAGTGCTCTGATCTGGAGAAGCCTCATGGACCTACCCTGATATAACCAGACCTCTGAAGCTGGAGAAGCCACAGAGACCTCTGCCAGCGCCGAGATGCTCACAACACCATTGGATCCAGAGACTTTCTACCCACTGGCCTGTGATCATCCTGTATTCAGTGTCACTGCATGTGTTTCGTGAGCCTGAAGAGGACTTTATAGATTGGTACTGGACATATGGTCTAATATGGGACTTATGGGCATGGACTGGACTGGGCTAGGATGCTTTTTTAATGCACAATTATCCTTCATAGAAAACTCTCTTATACACATGAGTGTCCATGGATTTGTTTCTCTAGTTTACCTGGACTAACACAGGTTGAATGAGATGTACATAGAATTTGGAGGTGGTGGTGGTGGTCATAACTTGCCCGTTCCCCAAACAATTCTTTTTAGTCCACTTCATTTTAATGTTTTTTTCTCGTCAACTCTTCCTTTGTGACCTCGGTTTCCCGCATGCTCATTTTCCTGTTCAAAGTAATCTGCTGTGGGTTTGGAAACTGAGCAATCTGACAACATTTTGTGTAGAGAATGGTGTCTGTGCTTGTTGGGTAAATGCGTGGCCTTCCTTTTACTTGTTTCGCGGCGTTTATTTCAACTGGTCAGCAGCGTTGTTTGCTTAATTCCTAGTTCTTAGCCAGTTCTGAAGGGGTTGAGTAGAGGGTGCAGATCTTTCCAATTCAGCCTCAGTGACTCGTCGTTTTGGGGGGTTTGTGTTCAGGATATACAGACCGGTGACACCGTCAGGCGATGGAGCCCCAGGTCAATGCATGGCTACCATCTGTAAGGTGGTCTGAAACTCGTGGCTCTTGTGCTTCGTGTCTTCTTACACGTGTCCACTCTCTAAGAAGAGATGTGATGTGCAGAGTGTGCAGTCTGCTTTTCCTCTTAGAGTAGCACGTGAATTGGGAGAGGCTACAGGAAGTAATTCACTGCTTACCAGTCATTATTTCTGTCTGTAACAAGGCTTCCAGCACGCGAGAGTCCTATTTCCTCAGAATACCCCACTGGCAGTGCACCCCTCTTGCCCACTTGTTGCTATCTCTACCTGCTCACCTCTCCTAAGACTCCTAGAGATCAATCCCTGCAGTATGCCTGGCCATGTCTTCCACAACTTCAATAACTTCCTGTCCATCGGTTTTTCAACTTGGGTCAGCGAGCTTTGCTCATTGCGTCCACTTGGAGGGCGAAGCTGCCTGGAAACGGAAGCTGTGGCCTTCCTCACTGTCTCCGGTCAGCGGGTGTCTGTGGGCTACGGGCCATCTAAGTAAGGCAAGTGGTTGGCTGGGTCCATGGTGACGAAACTCAGTAAATGACCTTTCAAACACACACGCTCATTTTGCAGCCCCTTTCCAAGAATCGGAAGCTGGCCGAATGTCAAAGTGTCCGCGGCGCCTTCGATGTTTAATTAAATCACAGACTCGGTATCAGAGCTGGCTGACTTTGGTTTTGAAACCATCACCCAAGCAGCCGTGGCTCTGCCTTCTGCTGGTTTCATTATATAGGGCCTTAGCATAAAGGGACCAAATCAGGTCTAATAGTCCCTTCCCTCCAAAAAGTAGTTGCCCATCCAAGTTGCCCGTACTTCCCATCTTGTAGACAGCAGGGCGTCGCAAAGCACTTCCCCGTGGGCAGCACGGAGAGGCTTTGAAGAGCGCTCCATCTTGATTTTTAACCCTGACTTCCTGGTGTGACCTCGGACATGCTACTTAAGGTCTCTAAGTATATTCACTGGGAACTAAAATGAGATAAAAGTACCAGTCCTGTGAGGATTAAATGCGTGAATGCAAAAAGCCACCAGGGCAGCACCTGGTCCAGGGGGCCCATTGACAAGCTGCCCCTGAGTCAAAGCATAGGGAACCCCCCTGTGGGTTCCCGAGTCTGTTAAGTGTTTACAGGAATAGAAAGCCCAGTCTTCCTCCCGAGGAGCTGCTGGTGGATTTGAACGGCCAACCATATGGACTGCAGCCCTGTTGGGAACCAGTATATCACCGGGCCCCTTGGCCCTGAGAAAGAACTCGCCAAATGGCAGTCATTATCAGCAAGGGGCCCGGTTTGAAGCTGGAGATTGCAACCTCTGATCCAGGTACACACACTCAGGACCGCTTCCAGCAGGCTTGTTTTTGTTCTCTTTCTTGTGGCGGCTCTCAGGGACAGGGCCGCCCAACGTTCTGTTGGCCTTACCTATCTATCATGGGCGGTTTGCTGAAGCCAGGAAACCTTCCAGACAGGCTGCAATGTCCGCCTGTTATGAGTGTAAAGGAAATGGGTCTGCCTGCAAGTTGGGCCAAGCACAGATCAATGAAACCAAATAAAGTGTGTTCACGGGGAGAAGATCCAATGAGAAGATTGAGGCCCCGCGGAGTGGGGAAGCAGCATCCTCACACTGTGGTCCCTTGAAACCCTGAGCCGTGCAGGCGCTGGGCTGGCTGGCAGTCTGGTCCCAACCGGGCAGAGGTGGCGCCCTCAGCAGTGAGGGAGGGGGGCGGGAGGGCCTAATGACTGCCATAGGAGACAGACAGTCTGCTGCCTTGGGCATGACACCAGCCTGGCGTGGTGGGTGACCTTGGGTGATTCAGCTCCCCATCTTAGACACTTTTCCCAAAGCAAACCAAGTTCCCAGGTAACGGGAAGGGCGGTCTAATGCAGGCAAAAGTGGGAAAAGGGCACTTAGAGAAGGGCGTGCAAGCTGGCAGCCCCTGCAATCCTACCTGAGGGCTTTAAGCAATTGGGCTCACGAGGTCTTGGGGCAAGGCCTGCACCTTCTCCCTCACAGCTTCTGCAGCCCTCCGTCTGTCTCTACGTGCGCCTCTGGCAAGCCCGAGGGCATGGCCTTGGTCTCACTGCAAGCTCTGATGATATGGCCTTCCAGATGGGGATGCTTCATTTACAGCTGAACTCCCCTCCACCAGTCTGTGGTTGTAGAGCTTTCGTGCGACTGAAAGGTGTCCTTCAGGACCAAGTGTTCTTTCAGTCAGAACCTATTCTGCTCAGAAACTTGAACCCAGGAATGGTGTTTTGAGGAAGAAACCTCTAATTAACCATGATTGTCCTTTGGCCATTTGGCCGAGATCTCCCACAGCACTCTGGGGCGGCCAGACAGAGTCAATTAGCCTCCTGCACCTCAGAACCGAAGCCAGCTCCACCCCAGCTATGCATGCAGACCATCAGGAATAGTTACACCTCGCAGGGGTCTTTGTGCACAATTCTGAGAGACAAATGGTATTTCCAGTAAGAGTTTATTGATTTCCAAAAGCACAGGGGCACGGAGTCTGCACATTCTGGGATAGCGGTAAATCTCTTACAAAATAATTTACAGTATGAACATGATCTACTGAAACGTTAACTCAAATGTGTAATTCCCTGGAGAGGTTGTGTGTTCTCTTGTTTAGCTCAAAGGGTGGAAGGGGAGATGACGGAGGCGGGACGGGGCTGGGCAGCAAGCAGGCAGGGGACGAAGGATTCCTTGGTGTGCTGTCCTGTCCCGCAGTGCAGCCTGTCAGGTGGAGAGTGGCCCGCGGCGCTCGGGCACCTGCATGCACACCTGAGTCTTCATTGTCCCCTGCCTGCTCTGGCCCTCGCTCGGGCTTTGGTCTCTTTCTGTTGTTTCTGAAGTCCTCTCTCGGCTCGTGGTTCTCAGGAATGGGTTTGGGAGCATGGAAGAGAGGAAGCAATATTACGGAGTCTGAGGCTTCCCGGGGGAGGGGTGGGGGTGCCTTTACATCTGCTCTCCATCACGAGGTTCTTTTTCATAGAGACGCCAGGATGTGCGCGGCACAGTGACCGTGCAGCTGGGCTCGTTGGAGGCAGCTGTTCTTCAGTACTAAGCTCTGGGCTTGGTGCTTTCTCGGACACTGGGAGAAGCAAGGGGCCCAGATCTGCTCTGATCTAGCGGGCAAAGCTCCTGCCTGTCTCCTCCCATTGCTGTGATGATCCGCCAGCCCTCAAAGCCTCACAGTGTGCTTGAACAGGAAGGTGAATCTGACTGATGTTGCAGAAACAAGTTTGAAGAAACCAAAGGGACTTTACAGTTTACTCCTCCCTCTGCCTTTTCGGACTGCAGGGAATTATGTGCACAGGGGCCAGACTGCTGACTGAAGTCCCAGTTGACATTAGGACCCCGGGCCTTCAGACTCCAGGGCCTTCCGCCACACCCCACTCACTCCTCACTTAGCGACAAGGTTAGGTTCGGAAGAGCAGCCTGTTTAGGAGAAGCTAGTGCTATGGGAAAATGGAAGCTACCTCCCCAAGCCTGTTTTCAGACCATCTGAATTTGAGTGTTTTAAGTTTAGAAAGTATGATCAGAGGATTAACAGCTGTGATTTACAGATCTGCTCATCAGTCCAGTTACGGAGGATTCCTCTGTGGAGGAGCCTCGGAGGAGAGACAAAGCTGAAGAGAGAGAGGGAGAGAGAGAGAAAGAGACAAAGCTGAAGAGAGAGAGGGAGAGAGAGAGAGAGGAGAGAGAGGAGAGAGCGCTTCCCTGGGGAGCCCCCTCCAGCACTGTGTTCCGTATTCCTGACCTGGGGCCTGCTCCGAGCCCCGAGTGTGCCAGCATTCCTGCAAGGGCACCGGGAGTCTGGCTGAATGACCAGTCCCGCTGAGACAGAGGGCAAAGGCCATTTCAGCTTGAGTCAGGATGTCATTCAAGTCACAGGCATTTCTTACAACACTCTCTCGGTGCCTCTTCTTTTCCTCCCTTCCCAGCCTCACAGCCATTGCGAGCTGCAGGACCTCAGGTTTCAGGGGTGCTGGGATCCCAGATCGGGCACCTGCTGGCTTGGCACTGCACCCCTGCTGGCCGGGTAGCTCGGCCCAGTTTCAGTGGTCCCTGGAGGGGGAAAGACTGGGCAGCCATTGCCACCAGGCCTGTCCCTCACCAGTGTGCGAAAGACTTTGAACTGTGGTTGTGGGGGGGCAATGTTGGAATACGAGGCAGTTGGTGAAGGTGAATGAGGAGTGGGGCACGTGTCCGTTCAATGCCTTCAAGGGGTGCTTTCCCAGGGGTAGCGTATTTGCTGGGACCCAAGCTCTCTTCTGGTTTAGGTCAAAGGCATGAAGCCCTGAGTATGCACTATTGGTTATTGGGAGGCAGCTATTTCCTACATAGAGGAAGAGGACTTCCAAGGCCTGGCCAGTACTGCAGGTTAGTGGGCTCGGGGCTGTGGCCACAGGAAAGACCTAGTGGTTAGCCTCTGAGGTCCCCCAAGTGGCTGCGTGAAGAAGCAACATCTGCCCCCGTGTCAGCAGACGTTTTGGAGTGGGTCTGGTGTGCAATTTCTCTCCGGGCTGTCACTTTGGCTCAGCACTTTAGGAGCTGACAACTTTTGCCAGGGAGTTGCGCTTCTTGTGAGCATCTTGTAAGCAAGCAGCTAAGCTCCAATTATCTGGTGACACTTGTAATCAGGACTGGCAGACACCTTTGCAGTGGCATGCAAGATAATGAGGGGGTGCTTTGAGTTGCTGTAGTTCTTAAATGTAATGTGTGTCCTAGGGCCCTTCAAAACGTTTTTTTAAAAAGTGCCATTATCTTTTCACTCCATTTTTTCCAAGACCTTTTGAAGCCCCCCCTGGTACCTATAATTATAAATCAAATCAGGTATTGGCTGGGGAGTTCAGATTCACTAGACTTTGAACCGCAAAAGCACACGATGGGCCAGGCTTACGAAAGACCGAGCATTTTCTTTTCTGCATCAGTGAGACAGCTAGTATTTTCAAATAAACTTAGAGTGGATAGCAGAACACCTTTTATTTTGATTATTTCTGGAAAGTTCTATACTCCTCAAGGCCTAGGTCTTATTTATGGGAGGTGATGCCAAAAAGGCATGGCTTTGCCAACTCCTGGGATAGCCCAAGTTTCCACCGTGGACCGGAGCACCTGCTGAGATGCAGGAATAAGGCTGTCTTGATGGCATTTCTTGATGGCCGCCAAACATCAGCTACTAAGTATCACCTTGAAAACAGAGTGTCTAAAGTGGGGTGGTGGGACTTCAGCGGGGGAGCCTGAGCCTTGCCCTCTCTTGGGCTCTTAGGTGCACCAGGAGCAAAGTGCACGGTGAGATTTGCCCTCAGAGCCAGTCAGGGAGAGCTGAGTTCAGTTGCCCTTCCTGGCTTTGTAACTTGTGGCAGAGGACTCTTGTATTTCACACTGTGTTTATCATGGGCCTGGCTCCTAGCAGGTCCTCACTACAGGACAGTTCCCTTCCTAAGCTGAGCTTCCAGCACGGCTTAGAGTTGCCTTAGACGTACGATGTCAAATCAAAGGGCAAGCCCTTCTTAGCCTGCAGACACTCGACACTGGGAGGGCAGCCAGGGGCAGCTGGGAGTACCTGATTGAGTCTGGAGAGTTCCCCGGCCTGCCTCCTTTGATGACTCCTCTGGGGTTGCTGCAGCCTCCGCCCACCAGGATCCACGTTTGTGCACTCTGTCTCGTGTTGGCCTGGCAAGAAGGAAGGCCCACAAGAGGCTGGGCTGAAGGCAGAGTGGTGCGCTCCCGTTTTTTTTTGGGGGGGGGGGCGCCTGCAGGCAGCCTCTGAGTCCTTATAATGATAGACACCAGCAGGAACTGAGGAGCCTGGGCAGAAGCTGCCGTGCTGTGTCGGACGCTTCCCCGGTTAAAGTTTTATCAGGTGCTGAAGACAGCAGGAGCCCATAAAGCAAATCTGAGTCCCTTTCTACGTAAAAGCAAGAGAGCTTTCCTTGAGGGCTACAGAGAGGGGGTAATTTATGACACCGGCTGGTGTGTACACTTACATTTCTGTTCATACCCACGGCATTGAGGCTCTGATTTCCCAAAATACTGACTTAAAGTAACCTCATTCAAGGAGATACGAGGGAATCAATGGCCTGCCCGATGCTAGGACGAGGCTCCGAGCTGGAAAGGGGAGAGTAATTACCAGAGAAAGGCATACATTTCCAAATCTTAAAGCCTTCAGGATCTTCTGATACTTTCACTGTTTCAAGCATGGTTTCCGGTCCTTCTCTGGGGCTAGTTTCATGGCATCTCTAATCGTTGAGATGCCCAACTCTCTAGTCTCTGCAGACAGTAAAGCAACAACATTGGCTCAGCCGTTCTGGCAACCACTTTGGAGAAAAACACTTTTAAAAAAAACTTTTATTTTTTAACAGCCTAATCTTCTGTCAGCAATAACAGGTCGACATCTGCAGTGGGCTGTGTGGTCTTAACCTGGAACTGGAGAAGCCTGGTAGCTTCCTGACCCCAAGAGGAGACCTGACTCACAGCATGCACAGGAATCAACAACGGCAAATAGAGGGGCTCTTCCCCAAAGCCCTCCTGTGCACCCATACGGTCGCCTCCTCGGAAGAGAGCGGGTGGGAGGTGGGGGGTCGGGGTCCTACACGGCTAGGCACTGAGGCAGCAGCAACCCCAAAGCCAACGCAGGTTCTTATGGGACTTTTCAGAAGTGACCGTGGGAATACCGCTGATGGCAAGCAGGGGAGAAGGACCACAACCCCCCATTTGCAAACGAGCATGACCTCTGAAATCTGTGTTAGCAGTGTGTGTGCTGGGCCTGCGATTTCACAGTGCCGTTGTCAGAGAAAAAAGAACTCCTATCCAGTGCTCCAAACCTCGCGCTGAGTAGGACGAGCATCTCGGGAAGCTGCAGGGCTGCTTTCTTAGCTTGTAGGCGTCTACTCCCTTCTCACACCCCTGCTTCCTTGGGGTGAGAACATTTCCTGTATGATGTGATCTGGGGATGGGGAGAGGCGAGAATACCCCAATCTGGGTTTTTCGATCCTTAACATGTAAGAGGAAGAGGACTTGAGTCGGGGGTGGGGGGTGGGGGGGTGTTAAATGCCACCAGAAGAGGGAGCCCCGCTGGAGTGTCGGAATGGCATAGCTGCTCCACTCAGGACGGGAATGACAAGAATCCCCCCCGCAGCATTTAAGCCAAGTTAGGCTAGGCGGAAAGCCAAAAGCCTGAGCTGAAAACTCCCGTTGGGTAATATATATTCCAGCCTGCCCTGTGGGGGGAGACCCAAAACCCTTTAGATTGACCCAAACAATTCAGACCCTTTAGTGATTGTTTTGGAAATACAAGCAATTTTGGTTGAGAAAGACTGAATTCCACGTTTAATCAGACCTTTTTGTCCGTGGTCCTCTTTCGTTTTTAAAAAAAGGTCATTTCCTTTCGACCTCCTCCCCAGTCACTGGATTCACCCACAGCAGTGAATTATGAATCTGAAGCCCTCTGTAACCTCACATACTAAAAACATTTCCACGTCTCTCTAACGCTTAGTCCTTCCCTCCACCCCGTTTTCAAGCCAGCCGCCTGATGCGTGCATGGCGCTCTCCCGGGGTTGGAGCTGGGCTTCTGGAGAAGGTCGAGGTGGAGATGCGGCCACTCAGCCCCACTTTGCCCTCGCTGGTGTGGTGCTGCAGTCTGAACAGCGTGGGGTTTTCCTGGCCGGCTGGGACAATGCTGACTATCCTTCAGGAGGATTCCACAGCCTCACTAGCGAAGCTCTGTTAGAGGGGCTGCCTTTCCCAAGTCTGTTCAAAGCAGCCTGTGAAGAATTACCTGGAGGGCCCTTCTTAATTGTACCTGGTGGATCAAGTTGGCAATTTCCCCTGACCTACCACGGCCAAACAGAGGCCATATGCGGTCCGTAAGGGTACGAGCCGGTCGTCACTTGGGCGGACATATGGCTGCTGCGGAGCGGGGGACACATGGGGGAAGAACGTTTGTTGCTGGGCAGCTTTCGCAGAAATCAGAAGCTGGTACACACACGCTGTGACATACACACGGGGGAGGGATGAGCATCCACGGGGAGGCGAGCCTTCAGGTGTCCTCTTCCTCGCTGGCACCGCTGCAAAGGAGAACGAGAAGCCGGTGAGTGAGAGCTCACGGCCAAGGAGGCAGTCAGCAACGGGTGGAAGCCCAGACTTCGTCATCAAACTTGGGGATTCGTATGCCGGGTGCAGCCCCGAGGAGAGCACCTGCCAGCAGTGGGGCCTTGGGCTCGTCACTCAGCTTCCCTAAGTGTACGTTTGTTTATGGACGGCAGGGGCAGCGATGGCCATACAGCCTACTTTCTTGGGTGAGGGAGTAAATAAGACAATGCATGTAAAACGCATACTGCCTGGCCCACAGCAATGGAAACCGTTCGAACCACAAACCTGTGGCAGATGAGTCCATTTCAATGCACAGCACCTGCCCAGAGGGTTTCTCAGGCTGCAGTCTTTACAGAAGCAGCCGCGTCTTTCCCCTGCAGAGCGGCTGATGGGTTGGAACCGCTGACCTTTCAGTGAACAGCTGAGCAATTAGCGCTGTGCCACCAGGCCTTCCGGTATGAAGTAAGTGGGTGGCTATTTAAAGGTGCAGGTGAGGGCTCACTGTTTTTGGGTTGTTTTTACTTACTTGGTAAAGATGGCTAGTAGAAAAAAGGAATTTGACTTCTCCTAAGCGTGTCATATACTATTAGGAGGAAGAAAACAAAACAAGGCGAGGCTATCCATCATCTCCCCAATGGCATGTCGCACTTGGAATAAAGTCAGGGCTTCAGCTCTCCCCACCGGGGCAGACAGTGCATTTTGGAGAAGCTACTAGCAGCAAGCTCTCCTGTTAGTTTTTAATCTCAGCACTGTTTCTTTCTTTCACAGCCCTTAGCAACTCCTATAATTGTAGGTACACACTCCCCACCCCCAACCGGGGCTTAAAGAGTAGCAAGTACTGTACAGCTAGCACAAGTACGATGGTAGGCACACGCGTGTGTTGATTGTGTGTTAGAAGGAGAAAGGCAGTGAGGAAGAACAGCAGCAGAAAAGGAAGACAGTAACAAAGGGATGCAGTTGGAAACGGCCGGCCTTCACTGCCCTGGCCAGGGCACTCAGGACCGGGCCCAAAGGGAGGTGCGAAGAAGCCCCAGAGGCTTGCAGAACCACAGGGCCCTGGCTTCCTGGCTGGGTCCTGGAGCCCCTGGGCGCTGCCCATGGCTTGTCTGCTAACCAAAAGGCCGCCCTCCAAAGAAAGACAAGCCAGCCAAGGAGCAGCCTGAGGGGCACCATTCGTGGGTCACTGTGAGTTGGAGAGGGCTGGCAGGCAGCTGTTGTGTTTTTGTGCTGGCTCTGTCCAGAAAGAAACCTGCTGAGAGGGGACACCGTGCATCTGGGGCAAGAAGGTGACCGGGGCAGGAGGAGGCAAAAGAAGCACACTGGCCTAGGTGCTTTCCATCCACTCCCAGCAGTCACTGTCCTGCAAACAATGATCAGAGTCGGCCTGGATGGAGCCCTTACGGTGTGCCACACCGATTCTTTCTACTAATCAGCACAACAATGCTAGGAACCAAGGCCAAGGTTGTCCCTGTTTTCTGGATACAGAAAGTGAACCTCTGCAAGAAGTCAAAACTAGGTGACACAGCACAGTAAGATGGCAGCGTTTCGATTCAAGGGCATTCTCTTTTAAGGTGACCAGATTTAAAGCAGGACACCATGGACGGGGGGTGGGGGTGGGGCGGCGCGCTCTTGATTAAACATTTGGTCTTTATGGACCAGATAGACCGTTCCCTAGCTTGTCGTGCATTCTTTCCAAAAATCGGGACTTTTTAAAAATGCCAAAAATCGCAACTGTCCCACCAAAAGTGGGACATCTGGTCACGTTATTTGGTCCAGGGAAGTCTTCAAAAAGCTGTCAAGCTGGAGGGCTTGGGTGGGTGGGAGAAGCGTGTCCTTTGTTGGAAGCAGGAGGCAAGAGGATGAGGCCTGGTGTGCAGCAGCTCCCAGCTCTGGCCCCTACAACTGTCCTCTCAGAAGAGGCTATCTAAGTCCACAGAGGGTCTGCGCTCTTTTGCAATCCTTTGTGGAAAAATGTAAGGGAAACTATCCAGAGCGATAGACGCCTTGTGCTTCTGAAGCATTTCAAGGTAGGGAGGCCTGGAAATTAAGGCAGCTGTATTCGAGGAGCTGAAGCAGCTAACTCAGCAGCCCTCCCGGTCCCACTTTGCCTCCTCCCACCCCCTTTCCTGCCCGTGGCCAAGTCACAGGTCCCGGTGCCTGCTGGGAGGCCTGGACAGTAGATTGTCATTAAGGAGCAAATGGAACAAAGGGCCTTTCAGAAAAGCTGCTCACCAGAAACAAGGCCGAGCTGGAACTGGCGCCATAGCCACCGCCCCCACCCTGCTTGGTATGATAGCCAAGCAAACGCCCATTGCTTTCTAGTCCCTTTCTACTTTCAACATGGGAGGTCTAGCATGGTGACAGTGCTCCTGCCCTGTGACTTGTTTTCTGGCATTGAACTTGGGGTCCATGGTCCAAAGGGTTTTTGAACCTACTGAGTCTGTGTACAAAGCTGTCTCTGTGTTCCTTGGTCTTGGAGTGGCCATGATTCCCATCATATTTTCAAAGAGGTCAACAACCCTCGAAAGAATAAGAGTCAAAGACAAATAAAGCAAATTCCTCTGGAATTACTAGGTTCTTCAAGACTGTGGAGCAGGCTTGGGGAAGAGGTCAGAAGTCCTGGCTAGAAGGTCGTTTCCCTTAAGGAATCCTCCTTCTTGGGCATAAAGATATATTTCATTGCACAGTTTAGAAACATGAGCCCCTGGGTTTCTGGCACATTGCTTAAGAAGTGCTTCACTTCTTATTGTCTGCTGACCGTTTACCCTCCTAGGCATGCTGTAAAGCACAGCCGTGAACAGGAGGACTCTGTAGTTGCCCTGATGGCGCCTAGTCTGAGCAAGTGAGTACATGTTTACCTCGACGTCCCTGGGCAGTACCAATGGTGTGCACTGGACGACTACCTTAAAGGTGGTCAGTTCAAACCCATCCAGTGGCACTGTGGCAGAAAGCCCTGGGGATCTGCTTCTGTAAAATTTAGAGCCCGTGTGTTAGACGGGGTTCTCCAGAGAGATAAACCAGATTGCTGATAATTATAGATACAGATATAGATACATAACACAAGAAGTAAACAGTTAAATTACAAAGCAGTTATACAGATAGATATATAACACAAGAAATAAACAGTTAATTATAAAGCAGTACAAATGGCTCAGTACAATTCAAATGTGTTAGACAGTTGTGAGACACTGGCAGTCCTTCAAGTCTTGAGGGCCACAGGCAGTCCTCTGTAGAGATTCAGGCTATCCCGGCACAGGCAGCAAACAGCAAGGCAGGTCACCAACAGTCAGTCAGGTCACCAACAGTCACTCCTCAGCTCAAGAGATATAAATTCCAATTGTGTGGTGAAGCAGGTCTTGAAGGAACCTCAAATTACAGCAACACCGTCTACAGGTTAGGTGGCCCACACGTAGCGTAGCTTGCAAATTGAGGCACAGAACAAGCAAGGCAGTTGCACACTGGTCCAATGATCCAAGAGCAAGAGACAAGAGAGGCGAGGCTCGCGGAACCATCTCTCCCCTCCGCCCTTCAATTAATCCCACACATGTTTATCGGCCAGGCTGGCACAATAACTAACTACCTCAGCCCTGTTTTCAAAAGTGGGTGATCTCACCCCTGTGGGGTGCTGGAACAATCCGGAGTGGGCTGCAAAAGTAGAAACTTAAGACTTTATCTTGGGTTATGATCTAGAATACAAAGTTTTTAATTACTGGGGGCACAGAGTAAATTTTTCTCCAAAAGGGGAAGAAGGCCAAACAAGTTTGGGAATCTATGCCCTCGCTCATGGGCAATGCTTTAAAATTCATCCTGACAATCAGTCTTTTAATTGGTGTATTTAGGGCATCGACATATAATGTAGTTATTGCTGTGCTGGAGCTTAGATGTGCATCGGATATTAATTTTGCCTGCTTTTCTGTGGGATAAATATATGTTTTTACTGTATTTTTAATAATTTTTTCAGTGGTTGCTCTGGGTACTATATATATTATCACAGTTTACTAGTTTTGACAGTTTACTAGTTCAAATGAAGTACAGAAACTCTATCTTCCTTTTTATCCCTTTATCTTCCCATTTGTAATTGTCTTAAATATTCCTGCCACATACATTCAGAATTACATTAAACAGTGTTAATTTTTTCTTTTGTCAAATGTAAATTAAAAACGGAAGAGGTGAAGGAAGGAGTATTGTACTTACCTATCATTTTGCTCTCATCGTGGTCTTTGTTTTTAACCAATGAAGAAAGAATACTTAGTTTTAGAACTAATTATAATAAGGTGTTGTAATAGTCTAGGTACTTTAGAGAAACAAATCCACAGCAACTCATGTATAAGAGAGTTTTATGTAAAGAAAGTGTGCATCACGAAAACATCCCAACCCAATGCTGCCCAAGCCCACAAGTCCAACATTAACCCATACCCAACACCAGTCCACAAAGCCCTCCACCTCACAAAACAGAGGCAATGATGCCGACTGCAGGAGGAAAGCTGAGTCAGTGAAGGTATAAGCATCTCAGCACTAGCAGCGGTCTCCACACGGCTGCTCCAGCACCCAGGGCTGCATCGGGATAGGTCCATGTGGCTTCTCCTTGGGGATGTCTTGTAGGAAGTCAATCTTGCAAGCTGAAGCAGGGAGCTGCTAAGGCAGCTGCACCCGGTGCAACCATCACAAAGCAAGAGACCCAAGGACTAGAAAGGCGAGGCTCACCACCCACTTATCCCTCCGCCTTTCAATTAGCCCCACATGTGATTATCAGCCAGGTTGGCACAATTAACTAACTCAGGTGTCATTCCCAATAATGAAAGAAATGGGATCTAAAGGAATCCGTGACACAGGGCTTTGCATGAGGGCTGTGTAACAACAGAGTGTGAAGCACGGTCCCCTGGACGAGCCTCTTTCACCTTGGCTACAAGCTAGCCTCCCTGCAGAGGACTTTCAATAGTCTGTGTAAGTCCTCACTGTATTTAAGTGAAGTGAC